CAGTATTTCCCTGACAATCCAGAGAACTGGGAGTTCTAAGCAACAAAAGAAAAAAGAAAGAAGGGAAGAAAGATAGAAGGAGAGAGAAGAAAAGCTTTGGGTTCATTGCAGTGTCAAGTCCTCATTTGACAGGAGCTACGTGTTGGAGTGACAGAGTGGAAAGGATGGGCATGGGTGAGGGGAAGGCTGGCAGATCTAGGATGTGGGTGATAGAGTGATAGATGTGATAGAGTGGATGATAGAGTGATAGAACAGAAAGGATGGGCATGGGCGAGGGGAAGGCTGGCAGATCTAGGATGTGGGTGATAGAGCAATGGATGTGATAGAGTAGATGATAGAGTGGTGATAGAGGGACAAAGCAGAAAGGATGGGCATGGGAAGAGGGCAAAGCTGGAGGATCTGGGATGTGGGTGATAGAGTGACAGATGTGATAGAGTGGATGATAGAGTGATAGAACAGAAAGGATGGGCATGGGAAGAGGGGAAGGCTGGCGGATCTGGGATGCGGGTGGACAGAAGTAGGGGCTGAAAAGATGGTTTCTGGAGCAGTGACAATGAAGGAAAGATCTTGGAAAAAGTCAAAGAGAGAAGAGGCAGAGCAGAGACTTTGAAGCTGTCAGTCTGGAGGGCGTCATGAAGAACATAGAAAAGACTAGAAATGCAACGGAAAGGAAGAGAAGGGAGACCTAGAATGCACAGGAATTGCTTCTTGGTCAGGTATGGAAGGGCAAGGAAAGTCAGCTCCTATCAAAAGTGGTGAGATGGTAATCCAAGTGACAGAAGACACAGAGGTGCTGTGCACAGACCAGCATGTGGAGGAGACAGAAGGAGAAAAACATAGCCAACAAGCCAGCAGTATGCGGAGGCTGCTGGCAGTGTTCTGCAGATAGACTGGGTGGAAATACACTCACCCTTCTTTATGTGGGAGTGCCCGGAAGGTTACCTGCAGAGGCTGCTCGGGGCCTGCCTGCCATTCACGCAGGGAAACGACTTCTAGGAGCACTTAAGACTATTGGTATCCATGCTCACCAGGCCCGAACAATAGAACTTACCACGAAGAGGTGAGAGCCATTGATAAGAAAACTTTATTGAACATTTTGGACTAACTTTGCTCTTAAGTCTCTGTATGATCAAACTCTTGGAGCAGATAGCTAGACTTTTAATCTTTTCTAAGTTAAAGGTAAACATTTTAGATTTTCTTTCTTTCTCCCTTCTTCCCTCATATTTCTTCTCTTACCCATCCCTTCTCCCTTTTTCTCTCCTTTTGTTTCATCCTGCCTTTCTGAATCTTGTTTTATTTTGGGTGCTCATTGTTGGCCTACTGGAGGAGTTACTGTCATCAGGATAACAATCTTTCTCTCCAATATTTATTTTTTGTGTATTTGTTTGCTTATTTATATAGTTGTTTTGTGGTACTGGGAATCAAATCCTTCTTTCAACTCTTAATATTCATGTATCTGTAGTGTGGATGTCATGGCTGAGGGACCACCTTGAACCTTTCAAAGTACAAACCACGGATTTGCATTTTTACCTCATTATCATTGTTTCAAACTTTCTACTTTATTCTTTGTAGTAGTTTCAACTCTGCTCATAAATCTCTTGGTAACTGCATAGGCTCCTGTGGCCAGTCCTGGCATTGTGGTTAGTCATTTAATACTTAATACAAAGGCTCCAATAGATGTCATGCATCCAGGGACCCTGGGAGGGGACATGCTCCCCCAAGAGTACCTTTTGACCCTGTGATCAAGAGAAAAGGTGAGGACGAGGTAAATACATGTAGGGACCAACAGAGAGGACAGACCTTTCTCCCCGAGCAACCAGTTTAAAGCAAAAGTACCTACCTTTATTGTCACAGTCTAAGATTTCAGTCATATATATATATATATATATATATATGCACACACATTCACTGTACATAATATATTCACTATAACATATATACGTATATATACACATATAAGTATATTTACTTATATACACATATATATGCATACACGTGTGTGTATCTATATCTATATCTATCTATCTATCTATCTATCTATCCACACACACACACATATTCACCTGTTTGGAGAAAACATAAACTCTTGGTAGAAAGGCTTGCAGCTTTGGTAATGAGGTAAAGGAAGTATTACATTTCAGCAAGAAGCAAATCTCTGGATTGCCAAAACATTTATTCCCAAGCCAGACTTCCTTGTGCTGCTAGAGGTGTGGCCTTGGTGTGTCTGTTCAGACTGGGGGGCATGGCTGGGTGTGTGTGGGGGTGGTGGTGGACTGAAAGACATTTCATCTAAGTGTAATCCAGAAGGCTTTTCTTGTTAAATTATATTTTTTGAGGAAAATCCACCCCTGGTACATTTTGCAAACTTGATCTCTCCAGCCACTCTTGACTGGCATTCTATTTTTGCCGGAAACCTATGATTTACAGTCAGCCTGGTTGCCCTCTTGCCTAGAAAGGCAAGAGAAAGAACCGGGCCGGCCGGCCCCAGGCTCCACAGGTAGAAGCTAAAGGCTGGAGTTTCCTCTCCGCAGCAAGGCTCACTCCAGCTGTGTCTCTCTGCTGTTGTCTCCCCTCACTCCCCCTTCTGCCATTCATCCAGCTCTGAGCAACAGCCCAGCTGCTGCGTCTGCCGGGAGGGGTTGCCAAGTGCCCTGCCTACTGGCTCTTCCAGAGTCCCTGCCATTCCATCCACAAACACATCCACACACGCGCTGCTGCCTCAATCACACGCGGAGACACTGGAGCATGCGAACACATTCCTTCCTGCCTTCCCTCTGTCTCAGCCCTTGACTTCTACAGTCCATGGAAGATTTCTGGACAGACGCTCTTGATCTGGCAGGGTAAGATTTGTTCTGATTTGTCTCTTGTCTGTAGCTCGAGCCTGGGGGAGAAAGCGACTTACCTTTCTGGCGGGTATCTGTATCCTGGCTGGGAGAAGAGGATTTGCTGATTTTTAAACGGGGGCATCTGTGTGGCTCCCTTTTCTTCTAGCACTTGCAGGATTCTCTGTGCCATTTCGATAGGATTTGGCAAGCTCAGATTTTTAAAGAGCCCCAGGAAGTGCTTTTGCATGTGTTTTTCAAAAGGCATTTGAAAAATTGAAAGTGTGATTTACAGAAACTAAATCATCGGTAAAAATCAAATTGCGTTGGAAAGTAATGGTGGCTGGCCATAAAGAGAAATATCTGCGATTCACCTAATGTGTTTTTAACTCTTTCTCTGCTCCGATCTACAGTTAATGATGTTTAACTTGATCTTGGCTGTGTATTTCATCAGCTCATCTGCTTATTATCCCAAATGCTGTTTTTCTAAGAATTGATAAAATGTGCACTAAGTATAAAATATTTTCAAAATGTTTCCATTAGTAACAACCTTGACATTTATGTCTTCTGTGAACATTTTGTCAGGTACATTTTCAGGTGTCTGGGGTGACAATTAAGGGCCTATTATGCTGGGACAAAGGAAGTTTATTTTTGAAAAGTATCATCTAGCCAAGATTAGGGATTATGATAAACTTATCAAATCTTTCGTCTTATTAATAGGTGCGAGTATGTGGATGCGCGGGTGTACCTCTGAGTAGCTTTTAGTTCAGTTGAGTTCAAAACTTTTCTTTCTTTCTTTTTTTTCTTTCATTTGGATGTTTAATGCTGCCTATAGTACCCAAATGAGGTTGGAAGTTCCAGCTGTAGGATTAAGGATCTGGAAATACAGAAGCATATTTTAAAAGTTGCGGGGTGGACAGACAGTGGAACAGAATCTGCCCAAAGCTTGGGCGACAGACCCGGGGTTCTGTTTTTGTAGGGAAAGGTCACATTTTATATCCACTTTTCTCAAGTTCTGGTTGCATAACCTGCAGACCGCTCAAACACCCCTGTGTGCCTAACCAGAGGTTTTTCTGAATCATCCTTCACATGAGAATTTCTAAAGGGAGTAAGGAAGGTACTGTGGTCCAACCTAAATAGAAAAGCCGGGACTAAGACAATCCCAGCAGGCTGTGGTTGAAAGAGGGACTACTTTGGGAGCAGTTTTTTTTTTTTTTCAACAGATGAGGAAACCAGTCTGACGGCACTGTCCTGAACGGCTTTTCCTAGGCATCTCCCCCCCCCCACCTCCACCCCGTACCCCTCCCCTCGGATCCTCGGCCATTAAATATAGCTGTCAGTGGCCGGCTGCCGATGCAGCCGCAAACCCGTCCTCCCCAGGGCCATCCAACGTCCCCAGGACCGATTTGTAACCAAGGAACAGAGGAGAGAGAGACAGAGAGAGACAGAGACAGAGACAGAGAGACAGAGAAGACAGAGAGACAGAGAGACAAGAGACAGAGAGAGACAGAGAGACAAGAGACAGAGACAGAGACAGAGAGACAGAGACAGAGGGGAGGACAGAAAGAGAGAGGGGGGAGAGAGAGGGGGGGGAGAGAGAAACACAGATAGCCACAACAGGCAGCACATGCGCAAAAGCCAGCCTCTGGCTTAGTCTTCCACTTTGGTAAACTGAGGCTTCCCTAGCCCACCTGTAGGAAACACTCTCTTCCCTATCCCCCCCGACCCCCTCCGGGGGGGACGGGGAGGGCAGGGCTGTCCATCGCCTGGTGAAATTCAGTCTCTGTCCCAAAGCGTGATAAGGAGAACCGATGAAGTGGAGCAAAAGTCGTTCCTTGGGAATCTTCTTGAAATCATAAAATAATACAATAGTACAAACAACCCGCGGTGGTGGTGCCGGGGGGGGGGGAAGGGAGGGATGTTTAAACCCTAAAGTCAGTGTTGGGGAGGGGGGTCGATGCCGATGAGCAGCTGGGGAGCGGGGGTCCCTCCCGTTGGAGTCCCAGACATGGCCGGGACTTGGCTGAGCCCAGCGCGCGCGCGCTCCCCGCTTCCCCTCGGGCGGGCTGCGCGCTGGGGTCAAACCACCGGGCTCCCCATCAGCCTGCGCGCCCCCCCGCATGGGGCAGGGACCAGTCCCGGGGGGGGCGGGGGGGACACACATCATCGCACCGCCTCTAACCCCCCCTCCCCGGCTGTGCTCTCTCTCTCTCTCCAGGTGGCCCGTGGGCTGCTGAGCCCTGCGCGCGGGGCGGGGAGAGGCGCGGCGGGGTGCGCGTGCGACGGGGCCCCGCGGCGACGGACCATGACTATGACCCTCCACACCAAAGCTTCGGGAATGGCCCTGCTGCACCAGATCCAAGGCAACGAGCTGGAGCCCCTCAACCGCCCGCAGCTCAAGATGTCCCTGGAGCGGCCCCTGGGCGACCTCTCCTACGTGGACGGCGGCGGCAAGCCCGCCGTGTTCAACTACCCCGAGGGCGCCGCCGCCGCGTACGAGTTCAACGCCGCGGCCGCCTCCGCGCCTGCGGTCTACGGCCAGGCCAGCCTCACCTACGGCCCCGGGTCCGAGGCGGCGGCGGCCGCAGCGGCGGCGGCGGCGTTCGGAGCCAACGGCCTGGGGGGCTTCCCCCAGCTCAACAGCGTGTCTCCCAGCCCCCTGATGCTGCTGCACCCGCCGCCGCAGCTCTCGCCCTTCCTGCACCCGCACGGCCAGCAGATGCCCTACTACCTGGACAACGAGCCAAGCGGCTACGCGGGGCGCGAGCCGGGCCCGCCCGCCTTCTACAGGTACCGCGCGCGCGTGTGCCACGTCGGGTCGGGGTGGTGCGTGTGTGGGGGAGAGCCGGGGTCCGCGGGGTGCGGGGGCCCGCCAAGGGCAGGTTTCACGGCTTGGAGGTGTGGGAGCTCCCCCCCGCTTCCCACGCAGGGGGTCATGGGAGGGGGGACCCGATTGTCCTCCACTCCCGACCGCGGCCCCGGCGCACCTGGCGGGCTCCGGCAACCTGCGTGGGCAAGTGTGGCGGCGTGGGGAGGAAAAGCCCACCCGGGGGAGTCTGGGGGGTCACCCGCCAGGGGCCAGTTGAACAGATCCATGATGGCGGCCTCGAGGCCCGACCGTCGGTGCCGCCCGGCCGCGCTGGTGGACGGCTCACCCTGCTTCGCGTCCACAGCTGCGCACGGGAACTCTGCGGCGGGACGGGACGGGGCGGGGGGCGAGGGGGGTTCTTTGGGGGAAGCCATACCGATCGATCGATCGATCACCCACGGCCATCGCCCCCTGCCCACTGTCCCTACGCCCTCCCCGCCTCCACCTCCTGGCTCCGGGTGGAACCTGGCACGATCGTTGGAGGAAGAAAAGCTTCCCAGAGCGTGAATGGGGCCCCGGCGAAGTTGCTGATCTCGGAGCCTCTGCCCGACTCCTGTTGGCCTGGCCGGCTGGTGAGCTTCCAAAGCGGCACGTGCAGGCTGCAGGCACCGGGGCCCGTCCAGCGCCTCCTGCCAGCCGGGCCACACAGCTGGCTACACACCGGGCTCACTGCGCGGGGCAGGGCCCGCAGGGCTGGGCGGGAGCTGAGTGGCTGCTGCTCCCAGACAGACAGACAGACAGACAGGGAACTCTTCATTACCCCAGGGGTGAAGTTCACTGGGACCTGCATTTTCAGCGGCCCTTTCTCGTCCCCGGGTTCGGTTGGCCTCTTCCGTGAGTCTTCCTCTTGGCCCTGCTGGGAGGGCTTGGTCGGGGGCAGGGGGTAGGGCCGGGGCGATGGAGCCCTGTGTCTCTTCCATTCCTGGCTCTGCGGAGACACTGACTGTCTGTTGGGCTGGCTGAAGGCCTCAGGGTGCCACATGGGTGCTGAATTAGATCCTTCCCAACTGTACATTGGCACCTGCTATTGCTTCCTGCCCTCGCCCTGACCCGCCTGTGCCCTGCAAGCGGGGGGGGGGGCGGTTTTCCTGCTCAGGATATTTATAGCAGAAGACACAGGTCGATGGGGGCCGTTTGGACACTGAAGGCAGCCCTCCGGGGCATCTCTGCACAAACCTTCTTTAGAGGACCCTGGTATAAGAGCTAACAGCCAAGCAGAATTGTTATTGGAAAGATTTAAAAAAAAATGAACAAAACTTTTAGAAGTCAGCAGATCCAAATGAATTTCAGGGTTAAACTGGAAAGAGAGAGAACAAAATTCTTCTGCCTACCTTTTTAAAAATTTTTTTTAAATCATGAGAACAAAATATAGCGATTAAGTCTAATTCACACAATGTCTTGAAGCTCTCCGGTGTGGAGCCAGGCATTGGTAGAATGTGAGTTCTACCACCTCATGGTGGACTCCCCCAAAATTATTTTTTTTCCGTTTAATTTTCAGTTCTTTTATTGCAAATTAATGGCACTGAATTTCAATGGGCACTAATGAGACTGCTCCTTGGCGGATTATTTACTGCCTTGCTAATAATTACAAAGTGAGCACGGTCAAATAAAGAGAAGATCATATTTTATTCAGAACTGTTCAGCCGCCCTGTGTTAAGCAATAGCACCATGATATGCCCTTGTCTTAAACTTTTTGCATTAAATGATCCTGAGATACTTTGAGAATAAATGCATGGTGACAAAGAACTTTCAAAAGTAAATGCAACAAACACACACACAGAATTTCCATATGGAAATTTAGGTTTAGTCTGCCTTTTTCCTCTATGGTTTATTTTTTTTTTATTAACTTCCTTTACTCTTTGGTTTGAATTCTGCCTCTTATTACTCAGAGAGGAAGAGGGCTTGTATACAAATATTTCAAGTAAATACATATTATTGCAACATTTTTCCTTCTCAGTTCTCTTGTTGGAATAACTCTTGATTTATAACACACACACACACACACACAAATTGGCTCTTTTCAAAATGTTTGCTTTCGTCAAGTAATTCTCAAAAGTTTTGGGGTAGAAAGCTGTATTTTCAAAGGGCTTTGTGTGGCCCCAAAGAAGAAGAAGCGAGTTCAGAACATTTTTTTTTAAAGGATAAAACAGAAAAGAAATAGGGCAGGGTAGTTAGTAAGTGTAAGACTTTTTACCGCTCCCCACCCCCTGAAAATTCATTTGAATTTTACATGCTTATACACTCTGATTGCATGTGGAATGTGTTTCTTCCTGTGAGTTAGGGTCAAAGAAGTTTGGAAAATCCTGTCCTACCATGTTGCCTTCAGTAGGAAACAAAAAGTTCCAGCAAGCGGCTGGTTTTACCTACAGGGAACAAAAGCTGATCGCACTGCCTTGATTTTACTTTTTCTTTATGTAGTCAGCTGCTGTCTTTAGGTAGGTAGGCCAAGCGTTACAATGTTTGATTCTTAAGTTTTCCCTCTGCAGTATGGCAATGTTGGGTAGGTTGTCTGCCCTCATATTCCCCTTGGGGTAGTCAGAAACTTCATGTGCCGTTTGCATTATTTAGCGTTAAGACACGGGGCGCACAATATGTAGCCGCATATCTGTGGGAAGAAAATGCACAAGGCAAAGTGCTCAGGGCATATAGTGCAAAAAGTTGTGGCCTATCCTAATGTCTTGTTACGAAGACATAATCAGGAAGCTGTGATTTTGCAAGATGTGTCTTACCTAAGAATTTTGAGGTGAGGGTTTTCCTCTTTAGCGTTCAAACAACTTAAGCGATTTTGAATAATAAAGGCGTTGAATAAAGCTAAAGATGAAACACTTATTTTAACCAAGTGTTTAACAATTCAAATTAGGTGTTTAAAGTTTTTTTTTCAGACTTCAGTATTTCTAAGGACTGAATATTGTCCGTGTTTAAAGAAAAAAAAAAAGAACTTGGCAAATGAGTAACACAAACCTTTTAAATCAAAGTCAGTGTCCTGGTAATTTGGATACAATATGTCTGTGTGTTTTGGATATCTAGTTTGTCCTGGTGGTCATTACAAACCAGTTTTTGACTTTGAGCCAGAGGTTCTAGGAAGAGATTTGAGTGGCAAATATTCCATGTTTCTAATATTTTTCCCCTTGTACTCAGATGATATTCTAGCCGTCTTGCTCTCTGCGCTTCCGTTTTCCAGCCATTTAAATTGTTTCTGATTACCTGCTACTTTGTGCTGATCTAAGAATAGTCTGCGCAGCCGCGTTTGCCTGAGGGACGAGTGAATGTTCGGATGAAGCCGAGCATCTCCACTCTCTACTTTGTCCTTACTCCGTGTGGCTTGTGCCTGCCTCGCAGAAAGCCCCCGAGATAAGAGCCACATGTTCTAATCTTTCTCACACTCTGTTAATTTGGATCCGGGGCTATGATTGTTTGTGCCTATATTTACCCTATGACATTTATAATTGGACAAAATCCAGGGCGAGAGTTTTAGATTTCTTATACATGGAAGGATATAAAAGATGGGTACCAGAAATTGCCAATGGCCAGAATGTGAGCTAGCAGAGAAGATGGTCAGAAGATGTCAGGCTTCTCATGAAGGCTGACAAAATAGTAATTTTGTCAAGTGGGGTTTGTGTAAGTGATAGTCGTACTTCAGTTGATATATATGTATATGGATATATATATATATATATATATATATACTACTTTATCCACTGTTGATATTTTTTTAAAATTACTTTACTATGTTACTATTTCTTTGGATGCTAAGAGTGGTCAAGAGTTTTTCTAAGAGTACAGAGTGAGAAGAGTAATGTGTAATGTCTTTCTTGAGAAGCCAAATCTAGGTAAAAATCTTTATTACCATCTGCAACGTTTGTTTATAGCCCGGCTACCATAAAGAATATTTATGTTCTAGAGGCATTTTTAGAGTGTAAAAAGCCAGACTGATTGTGTCAAAAAATTTCCGACATAAGGAAATACATGAATCTGATTTTCTCATCCACACTGGACACATTCCTCTTGTGACTTCTTTATTATATTTAAGGTAAGTCTAGGAGATCGCAGTTGAGAGCAGCAGCAGAATCTAGGAGACTTTAAATACAGAGGAGCAATTTACTCTTTCACATGAACACTGTGTCTCCTTTGCTTATCAAGGAGCAAAAAATAGGGTGGCCACACATGTTTAGGACTAAAATGTATCTTCCAGAAAAAGATGCTGCATAAATCTAAAATATATAGCCACTTGCTTTCAAGCTAACTGGGTTTCATAGAAAGGAGTTTGTTCATCAAAGTTATTGAGGAGTTTACTGTTATATTTTCAGCTCTTCTAGTGAATTGGTGGGTAATACCATTAAAAAAAATAATCTGAACTGTTCCTCTGCCGTTTCTAAAACATCATTCCTTGCTCTGGCCTCTGAAACTTGGGGACTTTCACGGGTTGGCAGTTAAGGGACATTTCTTTTCCACAGTTGCTGAGTTCTGTATCTGGAGGATATGATTAGGGATTATAAACATAGCTTTGCCTTAATCAATCATGATTTGATTACATGTATTTTTTTAGATCCCATTAAAACATAAAGGAGAGGAAAGATAACTATTTTGGTCTCAAACTGCCAAAATGATAATTTAGTAAAATAGTAATTTTAAATAACTTTATTAAATAAAAAGGGTATGATAGCCACTAGCAAGGAATACAGTGGTATGTGGTGGTCGGTCATGGTTACGTTGATGATGGTGATGGCCACGGTAATGGTGGTGGTGGTGGTGATGGCATGAACTACTGGGTTCAGTTTGGGTAGGATGTGTTTCTGGATGTAGATTATACAGCTTGGAGACATTATCTTACACAGAAATGGAAATCTTTTAATGTGTTTTACTTAATAAATATCATTTGACATTCTAAAAATTCCAAGTGATGTTATTATCAATAATGTCA